TCTCTCTCTCTCTCTCTCTCTCTCTCTCTCTCTCTCTCTCTCTCTCTCTCTTTCTCCTTTCTGTCTCCCTCTCTTTGTTTCTCCCTCCCCCCTCCCCATTCATCTCTCTCTTCTCCATCTTGTTTCTTGCTTACTCCTTCCCTCCCTCACCCACTCACTCACTCTTTCCTTCACTCACTCACTCATCAACCAGGGATATATTTATAATATACCGGTATATAAATACTCAGTGTCGTTTTTAAAGATTATTACTTCTATTAATAATAATAACACTGTGGGCAGTAAATTTAGGGGGAAATAACTGATACAATGGTGGAGACACAAGTGACTTTGACGTAAACAGAAAAGAGTGTTATTCCCCTTTATTACTTCTATAGATGAGGGTCTTCGATCTGTGATCAAAATTCTCAGTATGATCTCTCACCTCTATAAGGTTTCCGCTACTCACTCACTCACTCATGAGGAAAATCCCAGCTCACACAAGCAAACCCAGGCGTCCCAAGTCGTGTTGCGAGGATGTTGGGGGGTGGCTTTGGAATGTTAACATTGGATGGAACTGGTTCAACTGGGCCTCCGCCTTTCATGGCTTTTAATGACGGGCGGTTGGGCGAATGTGAGTGTGTGTGGAAAGGAAGGAGGGGTGTGTGTAAAAAGTTATTTCCCTAGGTAATTGATGTAGATGACAGTAATAGCCTATTGGAGGTGTTGGGGTAGGTATCAGGGAGCTTGGTTACTCTTATGATTGAAATCATGTACATCTACACGCTATCCGCAGATCGCGAATGCCGAACGGTACAATACACAAACCTTGTCGGCCTGAGCACATCTCTTGACTTTGTGCTTAGCATCTCTTCTTTTGCGCGGTTTCATATTTCCTCGATTTGTTTTCTGTGAAAAGCATTCGTTTTCTAACCGAAGTATGGTACACAAACAAATAATTTTCAGGTAGGGGCTTTAAAAATAGGGCCAGGCTCTTGAAAGTATTGATAGTGAGTACATAGTTAAGAAATAAATGTTTTCGTCCTCAATATAATCGTACAATTTTCACATTTTGTGTTGTTCCCCTTTGTGACCCTTTGTTTTCCCTTTCCAACAACGATTTATTTAGTTTCCTTTGACACAGTCTATTGCTCGTTGTCAGATATCTCCCTCCCATCTGATTCTGCATTAAATTCCTGCCGTCCCTCTGCTCTTTGCTTCACAATAAGAAACATCTTCCTCTAAACCAAGCCCAATTTTTCCCCAAGTTCCATTAAACAACCAAAAGAAAACCCCAACTTCCTGAAACAAACGGATGCTCTCGAACACTGCAGCTTCATCAATGACAACCGGCGGCTTCCTATCACAGTTGTAATAAATATCTTTCTCACATAATCGAATTTTTTTCTGCCTTCTATTGACATCTTCCCTCCAAAGAAGACATGTCTCCCCGTCTTTCGTTTTATTTTCCCCCGCATTATCAAAAACATTCCTCCTATTATAGCTTTCCTGTCTTCCAATCTTACTAGTCCTACACGAATCAACACCTTTCCAATATAATAATTCCCTTGTCCTGTCTTCCTCACAATCATCCTTCCCTCCCTCATTTCCTCAACCCCTCCCCTATTTTCCTCGACCTAGGGGATCAATGTTATCGCAACCCATCAGATCGATCGTCCCAGCGGGCCAGAGGAGCCAAGGAAGGAAAGGGAAGCGGGGAAGAAAAGAAATCAAGGAAGGGACACAACTCTCACCTAGTAACGAGATGAGGTTGGGGGTTCATCTTTATCGCATTGCTCGAAACTGGCAAGAAAAAGGTCAAGCTGATAGCCGTTTAGTAGGCTATTGATTTATAGCAAGGCAGTTGTTCCTGGTCGCAAGGTCATGTGATTGTCTTTAAATGAATGCCCGCGTGTGCTCAGGAGAATCCGTAGATCTATATGGACCAATTTAAACTACATCTACGTGTGTGCGAATTAAATACAGTACAGAAGCGGGAAACTTTTGTGACACATGTATGTTACTCAGGCTACGACATATCGCTTTGTGTTTTAACCAATCAGGCCTAGATATCTAGTGCGTTCTGGGTTGAGACGATAAAAGATACAGAAAAATAAACAAACATTGCTAGGTCCTATTTGCTTTTACCCAACATCTATCTAGATCTAGAGTAGAGACTGCGCTCAAGAGGAAGTGAAAACTGAAAGGCGAAAGGCAATCGCACCGAGACTGCTGTGTGAGAGGCAGGCAGCGAGCATCGTGAGTTCACGGAGCGAGTATTTTCATCCCTCGCGCGCGTGCTGCCCCCGTTTTCCCCTGCCGTTCGTGTCGGAGTGACTCGACAGCCGTTGGTGACAGACCGATGAGGGAAGCGCTGACCTAGAAATAGCGCCTGGATTATAAATTAAAACTCTCAGAATTCACTTTCCATTCCATTCTGGAGAATATTGGATCTCATTTTTGTGTCTGACATGGAAACATACCTCCTGGCGTGTTCATAATCATCGTAAGTAGGCTAGATAGAATGCAGTTAAAATAAAATTTGTTTCCAGCAGCCTTTTCCTTGAATACATAATCCAAAATAATTGGATTAATTTTACAGTTTGATGCAAAGCTCAAGCTCAAATATCGTGGATGAAAAATTTTTTGTTTGTGTTTGTGTGTCGGGGTTGTTGGGGGAGGGGGGATTTAAGAGTTGTAAATGATTTTGAAAGTGTTCTGTTCTTTCTATTCATCTCTTTGCCTTATAGTTATCATAGCCTTTCCGTCCTCACTCTCCCTGTGTTGGGCAGGGGAAGGTGGGGTGGGGCGTAATCGGTATGAAATACGGACACTTCTTTTTTTAGTCGAGCTGAAAGAATTCAATATTGGATTTTGCCTGTTAGATTTTTAGGCTGGTCTCTCTCTCTCTGTCTGTCTCTGTCTGTCTGTCTCTGTCTGTCTCTGTCTCTCTCTGTCTGTCTCTGTCTCTCTCTGTCTCTCTCTGTCTGTCTCTCTCTGTCTCTCTCTCTCTCTCTCTGTCTGTCTCTCTCTCTCCCTCTCTCTCTCTCTTTCTCTGCACCCACTTCTCTGCCCAGATTTCTTTTTCTCCTCACTTTTAGACAAGACAGCAGGTTAACAAGAGATACGTACATGAAATGATCTCAAGATACTTACATGAAATCATAACAAAAATAATAAATTAAATAGCATTTGTATAGCGTATATACTCGGCCAACGGCAAGCTCTATGAGCTTTACAATGTACATTGTTATCAAGAAACAGTCTAGGCTTCCCGAGAGGCATAGTGCAAGCAGCCGATTAACCTTATCCGTACTCATGGGGTCATTTTGTACCCCCGAGGTTGTATTTTTCACATTTTAGAATACTTCTAGTACGAAGATCTCTTTGAAAGTTTCAGTATTTCTTTTAAAAAAATCATTTTGATAGACTGCTATGCAAAGCGTGCAATTTAATTAACAAGTACATTTCCTCTTTGGAAAGTGGTGGCACAGAGTTCTCCACGTCATATGGATACGATAGTAAAACACGACGTACGGATGGGGTTGAGCCCCCAAATACTAACAAACTGACAGGATCTTTCGCTGTCAATAGATGGGTACTCACCTGAGTGAAGTAAGGGCACTTGTGTAAAGTGTCCTTTCTAAGGACACAACGTCGGAACCTTGACAAGGTTCGAACTCAAGAGGTTTCGGTTGTCAGCCCAACAGCCTAATTAATGAAACCCTTGGAGTGTGTTCTAAATAATATTGTCGTGACAGATTGAACCTTTCGCGACTTGTTTCATAATAGCATCGGAGTCAGTCGTTTGACTGTTATCTTGAAAATGTGTGTGTGTGAGTGTGTGTGTGTGTGTCTGTGTGTGTGTGTGAGTGTGTGTGTGTGTGTGTGTGTGTGTGTGTGTGTGTGTGTGTGTGTTTTATTTGTGTGTGTGTGTGGGGGGGGTGTTTTTTGTTGTTGTTTTTCTGCTGCTTTGTTTTGTTTTGTTGTTTTGTATTGTTTTGTTTTTTGTATTGTTTT